TGAAACCAGCGGAAAATAACACATATTCTCCAGCAAATGCGCTCCATGGTAGAAAAAAGCAACCTCCACGAGATGATGCGGAACTGCGTGGAACACTAGTCTTTGACTCTGAAGCAAATTGCTCTTCAGCTAGGAGGAATTCCAACCGTCCCCCGAAACCTGCGAGCTCCGGGCATTAGCCGCTAGCAAATGACAAACACTCCATTTTTTCTGAGGCAAATGAGAAAAAAATTGCTAGAAAAGCTTCACCACCCCCCCCCAAAAAAAGAAGTTGTTTGAAAGCCACCCCATAAAATGAAACAAAGAACGATTGTTCGAGCTGCCAGTTCCTCAAGCAGGCGCGCGATCCGCGCCTGGGCCTGTCCGGGCACCGCTTGCACTGGCGTGTCGCGTCCTGGGGCTCAAAATGGGTGGATGGGGTGGATGGGGTGGGGTGGGGGGGGGGTATGGTATAGAAAAAAAGGTGTTGAACAATGAAACAACCTGGTTTTAACCAGCAACACTATTTGTTTAGCAATCTGGTTGTTTTAGCAATGGAGAACGATATGTTTCACTCAAGGCTGCATCCTGTGATGCGCGGAATGTCCAAAGGCAAGCGCGCTTTCTGAAGGCTACATTCTCTGACAAGCTCGCCATGTTCGTTGTCTGTCAACAGAAATGAAAACTGCATGCGAAAGCATGTTAGTTGAACAAAAATCGGGTGCGCATGCCGCTTACAGCCTGCCTGCCTGTGCAATTAGCACCGCAAAGCGGACCCGAGATCAAGGAATCATGGCTAACTGACGACAGGGAATCAATGGGTCAAAGAACCAGGTGACTGGGGGGATAAAAATACCAGCAGACCAAATGCTAACAGAGCGCAGGTCCAAGAAGTCAGTGAAGATCAAAGGGCAATGACTAAGCAAGCAAAGAGCTGACGGGAACCAAGGGGCCAAAGGACCCGAATAAACCGGTCTTTTCAATAGGTGTCCCGCGGTGATGAATCTCCACTACAATGGGGACACCCTCCCAATCAACCAGGGGTCTGTTTATCCTCCCAGCCGCAAAACTGGGTCACCAACGGATCCCAGAAAAGCAAAAAAAACACAAAAACATGGGTCTGTCTTGTTCGGGTACCTTTCTTTGAGGTTGGTTTAAAAGGAAACTACTGGATACGACCCATTTGGGAGTCCCCCGATTTTGAGACCACCCCAGTTTCAGCTGAGCCGGTTTGTCACTCTCAGTGCACCCAAAAGCGTTTCATTCTTACTCCGGATTATTCTAGGGGTTGATTCCTTTTCCATTCTTTTCAACCATCGTTCTTTTCAAAAACCAGCCGTTTTCCCTGGAATTCTGGAGATTTTCTAGAAAGAAGGATCCCTAGAAAGAATGGGGAAGGTACCTAGAATTATGTCGACGGCTTTGAAAGGGAACGGACACGAACCAAATGTCCATTCAAGCGGCTTCCAAATCTTAAGACCCGGCTGGAGCACTTGGGCCTTGTTGCTCGGCTTGCTACATTTGTCAACGTGACACAGGGTCTTCTTTGCAGTGCCAAATGAGATTAGAGTATGCTCTGCTCTGTTTGGCTGGGCTGAATCTCTGCCATTATCTATGCATCATATATACTACATTATATATAATATGTGTGTATTGCGCACACATGTGATTCCTTACTCACAAAATGCATGTCACAAGCATTCTGGTGGCTAGCGTTTAGCATGCAACATGCTCCGACTGTTTGCTTGACCGCCTGGCAGCAAAATGCGCAGAGGGGCAGTCCTATCACGGCACCCTGCGCTGCCACAAGCAGAACAGCCACACAGCGCAGCCTTCAGACGAGGCGGCGGAAAAGGCGAGATGCCCCCTGATGCCCCATCTGAGAAACGTTGACTATGAGGATGTGTGCCAGGATTTTGTTGGAATGAAAGTGTGGATACCCTCCCACCAGCTAACATGGAGGTGCACAGACCCCCTGTAGAAAATCGAAAGGGCCTTTTTGCACTTCCATGTTAGTTGGTCCCTCGAAAACCTCGCATTTTGGTTGGCCCGGTCAGCTTTTGGCTCTAAACCGAAATTGGGGGTGCCAATCGCTGAAGAAAACCTGTGGAAGCGCTTTAGTCTTCAAATCGGAAATAGGAACCGTCAAAAAACATTGGGGGGTACGTCCTTTCTTGAGGACACCCCCTTGTTTGGTGGCTTTCAAGGGAAGCCAACAGGACAACCGCCATTTGAGTGGGTCCAAACGTAAAAAGGACACACCCACATGGCTTGTGAGTGGGATACTTGCAATTGGGCGTTAAGCCCGGTGCATCTGCTGCTAGAAGCAAGCCGAGGTGTGTGTGTGTGTGCGTGTGTGTGTGCGTGTGTGCGTGCGTGCGTGCGTGCGTGCGTGCGTGGGTGCGTGGGTGCGTGGGTGCGTGGGTGCGTGGGTGCGTGGGTGCGTGGGTGCGTGGGTGCGTGGGTGCGTGCGTGGGTGCGTGGGTGCGTGTGCGTGTGTGCGTGTTTGCGTGTGTGTGTTTGTGTGGGTGCGTGGGTGCGTGGGTGCGTGGGTGCGTGGGTGCGTGGGTGCGTGCGTGGGTGCGGGTTCGGGTTCGGGTTCGGGTGCGGGTGCGGGTGCGGGTGCGGGTGCGGGTGCGGGTGCGGGTGCGGGTGCGGGTGCGTGTGTGTGTGTGTGTGTGTGTGTGGTGCGTGTGTGTGTGTGTGTGTGTGTGTGTGTGTGTGTGTGTGTGTGTGTGTGTGTGTGTGTGCGTGCGTGCGTGCGTGCGTGCGTGCGTGCGTGCGTGCGTGCGTGCGTGCGTCGTGCGCGTGCGTGTCGTGCGTGCGTGCGTGCGTGCGTGCGTGCGTGCGTGCGTGCGTGCGTGCGTGCGTGCGTGCGTGCGTGCGTGCGTGCGTGCGTGCGTGCGTGCGTGCGTGCGTGCGTGCGTGCGTGCGTGCGTGCGTGCGTGCGTGCGTGCGTGCGTGCGTGCGCGCGCGTGTGTGTGTGTGTGCGTTGCGTGCGTGCGTGCGCCGTGCGTGCGTGCGTGCGTGCGTGCGTGCGTGCGTGCGTGCGTGCGTGCGTGCGTGCGTGCGTGCGTGCGTGCGTGCGTGCGTGCGTGCGTGCGTGCGTGCGTGCGTGCGTGCGTGCGTGCGTGCGTGCGTGCGTGCGTGCGTGCGTGCGTGCGTGCGTGCGTGCGTGCGTGCGTGCGTGCGTGCGTGCGTGCGTGCGTGCGTGCGTGCGTGCGTGCGTGCGTGCGTGCGTGCGTGCGTGCGTGCGTGCGTGCGTGCGTGCGTGCGTGCGTGCGTGCGTGCGTGCGTGCGTGCGTGCGTGCGTGCGTGCGTGCGTGCGTGCGTGCGTGCGTGCGTGCGTGTGTGTGTGTGTGTGTGTGTGTGTGTGTGTGTGTGTGTGTGTGTGTGTGTGTGTGTGTCTGTGTTTTCCTCCGGTGGCTGCAGGTGGGCAGGTGCACAACCAAGAATAAACACCCGGTTGGATGGCATTCCACATGGCCCATGGCGGTTGATCAAAAGATCCGTAAAACAAGGGATGACCATTGGTTGGAAACCACTGAAGAGATATTATTTCAACCACGAAATGGGAAAAGTTATCCATGGTCATTTGGGGGCGAGGAATATTGATCAACCCCCACATAGGCTCCACACATTGGCATAAGCATTCAGGTGCCCAGGTGCCATGGGCTACAACCAGGGTAAACAATAATTTGAGGCATTGGGAAACATCCGATGGGCCCATGATTCTAGGGCGACCTGAACCATTTCCACTCTTAACCCAGGGATCCCGGAGTTTCCCAGGGAAAACGGATCCGGCTTTGCAAGAACGATGGTTGAAACCCACAGGCCAATGATGGCAACCAATTGTGCTGCAGTGAGGCATGATGTGATGCCAATATATTTGTTCGCCCTGCGGCGAACGAAAATATCATGCTGCAATCTGAAATTCTTGCAGAGTGGAAAGGAGCACCGCCCTCTTCCCCCCCCCCAAAGAAAACAAAAACAAGCCAAGATATCCACGAACAAACTGTCAGAGTATCTAGATGTTTCTTTCAAGCCCCGATTATTGTATGGAACTTGAAGGCCAGCCTTAAAGTATCCAGGGAAGCCTCTCTCTTGAAAAATGGAGGCCCCTTCGGGTGGTTTTCCTTTGGTTCAATTTGAATTCATCCAAAAAGGTGTCCCTTATGTTGAGAACCCCCCAAAATCCCCCAAATGGGGACTCCTGGAAAACGCCTCGACTCCTGAGCTCCCAGCATGGTTCTGAGTCTTCAATGATGCGGGAAGTTAAAAGCGGAAGCTAAATGCTCTGGGGCCGAAAGGCGCGGTAAACATGTGCTTGCGTAGGAGAAACGCTGTCAAACAACCATATATGTGAAGCCAGATCCTCAGAAGCAAGGCATCCGTCATCAGTCTGGCTTGCTCTCGCAACACATCCAGTCACAATGGCATGTTCTTCTCGGTCGACGCCTTTAAACACACACAAACACATTTTGGCTTATGTTGTGCGCGAAATGTCTGGGATGTGTGTGTGTGTGTTTTGTGTGTTGTCAGTGTTCACTTCTTTCTAGCCTAAGCACATTGCCTTGGATAGGACAAAAGAGACGCAGGCATGCGGCTTCAATAGTATAAACTTCGGGTGCAAACCCAGAACTTCTCCTTCAGGCAAAATATACTGATCATGGCATGACCCAACTCTCACAGAGAACGCATGAGTTGCCCAAATAAAGGTAAAAGATAGCAACACAAAAAAAGGGGCCAGCTGCGCACTGGAGTTGCGGGCTGAACCCTCCAAAAAAGCGGCCAGGTGTCCAGAGGTCCCTAAAGCCACAACAACGCCTCCGAGCCCCAAATACTGATGAACGAAATCCTGCACCAAGTTGAAACCACGGCAAAACGTTATTTGGTTGACGTTGGAAGGGGAGCAACAATTTATTTGTTTAGCAGTTAAGTGGGGATCCCCATTAAACCACAATAAGCAAGCATGTAAAACGTTTCCCAACAGCAAACATGTTTATTTGTTACAGGGGAATCATCATTCCAGGGTGTCTTAGGTGGGGCAGGATTTCGTCCATCCACAGTATGGCCATCCCTATCCCAACGAAACGAGTATTGGCATGAAGTTGCGCGATGTCATGTCAACATCTGAAGAATTAGGCCTTGCTTGCGCAAGGCCACTTGGGGAACCCTCTGGCAACGGAAAACCAAGAAGCAAACCTTTCCAACACCTGAATCCCAACCACAATTGCTTTTTTGTTTCTGTAGGGCATGTCGGTTGCAATGAAAAAATAGGTCGGCAAGGTGGGACCCGGGTGCTATAGGAATGGACTTTGAACGCCTGTCATCTGCAGAAATCAAAGAAGATGCGGCTAAGCACGCACAAATGAGTGGGCAGCTCAAATGGATTGCATGCAAACACACCCATGCCTCCCACCCACCCGCTTGGAAGGGAACAAAACAGCTCCGCTTCGCATGCTGCGCGGGCTGAGCACCTCGCTCGAATGCTTCGAAGCACGCCTGGCGCGTCTAACGGCGCCCGACCTCCCGACGCTTTGCCACGCGCCTTTTTTGAGGCCCAGTTGAGGAAAACCACGGGCGAAGCCGAAGCTGAAAACGCAAAATCGGAGTTGGGTTTCAAATCTCAAACCAACAGCTTTGCAACATTTTTGGAAGGCACAAAACAAATATGGGGCGTTTTTTGGAAGGCACCAAACTGCAGAACAACAGTTTGATGCCTTCCAACAAAAAGACGCGCTTCGAGTCCGGCGATGCCTTCAACGACATTCACGGAAAGTGTTCTGCGAATCGAATCGGTGTGCAGAACTCTTCCGGGAGTTGCCCTTTGGCAACTCTCCGCATGTTGATCCTGGGATATTTTTTTCATTGTTGAGGGTACCAGATGTTTGGCGGTTTTGAAGGAACATCGTTTGGGGGACACCCAACTAGCTCAAACAAGAAAGAAACTGCCAGCGGCAAAGGCGACAACCGTAAGATACTGCATATCTTTTCGCAAAACGACTTGTACAAGTATAATATTGGTCTGCGCAAGAGTCCACCCACTCGTTTTTCTGCCCGCAAGCTTTTGCAATGGTCAGCAAAGCAACGAGATTTGGCTGTACACAGCCTGCACGAGACACGATCACGGAATGCTCTCCAAAGCAACAAGCGCTTTCCTGCACAAACTTTGCAAACCAGGGTTACCTATGCTTCCCCTTGAAACACTAGCCCTACCAAGGACAACTCATTGTAAACACCACAAAAACACAGGAGGCCCTAGACGTTTGAGATGATTGCAGTCGTTTTGTTCAAGTCTGACCGTGTCTCAAGTGACACATCCGCAGCATGGCGAGCCAGAAAAGAGTCCTTAGGCGTACAAGGGCAGCAACATGGGGTGTGTATGGGTGTTATTTTAAAGCTGCCATGTGTTGGGACCATCATTTGGGAGTTGCTTTCGATTTTGAGACACACCTGTATGCACAAATCACCAAATCGTCAGCGACATGATATAAGTCCTCGCAAAGCACCTCTTGAAATCTCAATGCTTCCTTGTTAGGACTTCAAACAAGCCCCCCCCCCTTTCTCTAATACAGAAGCCTTTGCAGAGCCAAAGGCCGAGCCCTGGGAGAACCTGCGAACTGCTGGGCTGTATGTCGAAAAACTTAGGGCGCCTCCAGTGGTTGCCTGGGCAATGGAGCGAATCAGCCAGGTTCTTAAGCTGCGACCTCTCTACGAACCGATGACAAAACCCTGGTGAGGGGTCCTTACAGTTCCAACGTTGACTTGGCAAAGCTTATCGATCAGGGCTTCATTTTTCCTGGCAGGTCCTGAGCCAACATCCTTTGATGGATCATCATTCTTCTATATGGGTCGGTCTCCTTCTTGAGGGTACCTTTTTTGGGATGGTTTTAAAAGGAAGCCAAGAGGAAGAAGAACCCATTTGGGGGGAGGCGCCCTAAGAAAATCTTAGGGCCCCCATGCCACAACCAAGGCCGCTTCTTCAACTTTCAGCAAACCGGAAACGGGCAACCCTACTCCACATTCTTGCCGGTACCAAAACTTCCGAAACACCCCACAGGCTTGGGACGCGCGGCTCGCAACGCCGCGGCTCGCAACGCCTTGCACGTTGCAAAGATCAGCATGCGGGCCCTGTCAACCAGGGATGTTGGGACACGAGTTTGGTTCCCCGAATGCTTCCATCCATGAAGCGAAATCTGAAGCCCAGGATCATTTCATGAGTTACTAAGTTACTAGGTCCTCCAGATTTGAGAGGTTAGAATAAGGGTACCAACTTTTTTCTGTAGTCTATTTTAGTAGGGGAACCGTCCCCCAAAAAAGGGGTAAAAGGGCACTACTGGGTGACGTAGGTTATTTTGCCACACTCAGCCAGATGCGAATTCCAAACTCAATGCGTCCCAGCGGCTTCGCCACCATGCTCCCTCGACTCTTGGTGCCTTTGCTTGCGCAGGCGCCGGCGCCTGATCATCGCATGCAACCGGGCGACCGGGGCTTGCCTTTGGGTCCGAGAACCTGATATCAAGAATGTGCCAAGGCTCCTTTAACCTGATGCCCGTCGACCTGTGTCTCTTCAGAGTGTTCCACTGTCCGCAAAATGTGAAACGCTTAGAATATGCAGACATGTAGATAGGTATGTATGTGTGCATGGGTCTGTATATCTATATATGTACATGTATGTATGTGCACGACTTTGTATTATACGCTTAGCAAACAAGAGAACATCAATCAATCAATCAATCAATCGATCAATCAATCAATCAACCAATCCATCCATCCATCCATCCATCCATCAATCAATTAAATCAATCAATCAATCAATCAATCAATCAATCAAACCAACCAACCAACCAAACAATCAATCAAATCAAATCAAATCAAATCAAATCAATCACATCAATCAATCGAATCAATCGAATCAAAACAAATCAAATCAAATCAAACAATCAATTAATAAAATGAAATCAGCATAAAACATGAATAAGTACACACACAAATACAAGCAACAAATATAGATTTATACATATAAGAAACGCGAAACAACACATAAATACCGTTTTGTGAGAGTACCCAGTTTGGGGGGCGTTTCTGTAACAAAACCAGCAGGGAGCAAACCGCTTTCAGATTTCTGCTATTTCAAGACATACCTCTATCTACATCCTAAAGAAACAATGTACTGTATATGCACCAAGCCACCCCTACATTCACCAAGATTCAGGAAAGGGTCGGAGGCCGTCCAATTTCTTCCGGTCAGCAGTGACAACGGGAGGTTGCAAGCAACAAAACAAACCCGTGCCACGTTCAAAGCTGGCAGGCGGGACGTCCACGGCACAGAATCGCTGCAATGCGAAAACACAAGCAATTCAGTTTCCTACCAAGCATGATTGATTACGAGTGTTTTGGTCTGTCAGTCCATGGTCACTTGATCAAAATAAAACACAAGCCACTGCCAGCACCCCCCAGCTGCTCTTTTTTCCCCGTGGAAAATCCCAAGTGCCCAGAACGCAGAACTGTTGCGCCCTTCAGCCAGTCGCCCAGTCGCCCAGTCGCCCAGTCGCAAAAAACCCCCCAGCCCGCCTGGGATCGGCCAACTTCGGGCCTGGGAGGGCCGAAAATCTCCCATGGGACTTTAGGACCTGTGCACGTTGCGCCATAAAACGAGCGGCTCCCTTTGAAATGATCGAAACCTCAGGTTCCCAGTGCGAAACCTCAGGTGCCATGACCGACCCACCCCAAAAGTCGACAAGGTAGTCTGCTGTCAAAGGAGAATGGTCTTCCACCCATGTTCGAGAACTCAGGTTCCACGTTCGACCCACCTCAAAACCTCAGGTTCCATCTTAGTCGACAGGAGGAGAGTCTGCAAAACAAGCGAAGCCTGCGCTTGTTTAAGTCAAAGCTGCGGTTGAAAGTCAAAGCTTCTTGATTTGGCCGCGGGCCAATGACGGCCAATGTTTGCCACATGCTCATCATATTTGTCTGCGCAACATGTTGAAACAAATGCTGGCCATTGCAAAAAATGGATATGTCACATGTCACATTGAATCACACCGGTTTGCAAGTATCAAAGCCAGCGTGCAACCGTGCAAAGACTAAGAAACGATCCCTGCTTAAATCCCGGAACCCAAAGGTTTTGCTGGCTGCCCTCATCTCAAAAAAACATGGACAATTTTTATTCGTCACCGTGCATGGCAAGCCTGAGTGACGATGGCACACATCAAAGCCTTTCAGCCACATGTTGAAGTCTTGCAACTCTCCCACCTACAAGCAAAGCAAACTGTAACTGAAATGTGCGAAGCCAGATTAAGCAGGAAGCAATCCCGCTAATTGTATCCTCAGGTTTTGGTTGAGGTCAATATATTGGTAGGTTTGGACAAACCTGGTGCCAAGCATCCATCGGACCAAGCGGCCAGCAACATGCCCCTTTGCAGTCGATAAATCTGTCCAAGTAGCTTCCCTTCGGCGCAAACATCACGCGGAGGGAGCTGGTTCTGAATGCCTCCCGGGCGGACGCATGGGTTTTTTCGGCAAGTCCCCAGAAAGCATTGGTGAAGTATAGTACAAGGACTAGGTCCTGCAGTAGAGAGGTTAGAATAAGTTGGTACCATTTTTCTGTAGTCGATTTTAGTAGGGGAACCCTCCCCAAAAAAAGGGGTGAAAGGGCACTGGGGACCTGACGGAGTGGCCGAGGCAAGGAAACAACTTTTCCTCTCAACGCGTAAAGAGGAGAATTCGAGTGCCTAGAGTCTCCATGACCCTTTAAAAACGGGGTCATTACCCTAAATAATGGGGTCATGGACCTGTTTTTAATCTCGCCAGGAAAGTGCTCTACGGGCATCCTGGTAATATGTGCTGGTGTCGTCGCATTCCCCAAATCTGTCAGGAAAAAACAAGTGCAAGATGTCTCGCCGTAAACATGACTTCTTGTTCCAGCAACCGCCTCATGGTGTCATAAGGGTTCCCACAATAGTAACCTTTCTAGCACCCACCAACAACACTTTCCACTTTTTCAACCGTGTCCAAGATCCCCCTCCCACCCCGTGTTGTCCAAAAAGCAGTGGTTGGGGAGTGCTAGAAATTGCCTGAACCGAACGATCTGGAGCCACGCCACGCCACGCCAGGTTGCAGAACTGACTCCTAAATGCGCCTGCGGCAATGAAGTGGCACCTGAGGAAGCACAATCTCCTTCCTGCCCGTTTTTCTAGGGGTACCTTCCATTTCCGTTCTTTCCAGGGATCCTTCTTTCTGAACAACCTCCAGAAACCCGGCAAAAACGGCTGGTTCTTGAAAAGAACGATGGTTGAAAAGAATGGGGAATCAACCCCACCCTTTTTTTCCCTGCTTGCGAGAGCCCAAGGCATAAACGCTTGGTGTCGCCAATGGGCTGTTGCAGAGCACAACAAGTAGAAGGAGGCCGGACCCAAATTCCATTTCCCCTACCCTGCTTGCTGGAATGAGCGGCCAGAAACGATCTGGGACAATTACTCCCTACTCCGGCCCCCCAAGCACAATTGCTTAGTCCCAGCAAGCAAAGTAGAAAGACTCACCTCCTGAGTGGATTGGTCAGAAAGAAACACCAAACTTGTTGCTTACGTACCAGTGCGGTCCAAACCCAATGTTGTGAAGTTGAGGAGCCCCAGCAAGCGAGACGAGGCCATCGCCACGCGCCAAAAAATCTCCGCCACCCCCATCCCCCTTAGGTGTTTTTCTTGGTTGAAAACAGATGTATCCCTGGTAGTTGATTGAACCACCAGGCAAACCAGGAATCACCCCACCGATTTGTTCAAGCAAATCCACCAAAAATTGGACACGATTTGCCCATCCCCCTCTCCCCGTTTCGGGTGGATCGGTTTCGGATTTCGGTTTCGCGCTCCCGCAGCCTGGCGGCACCGGCAGCGGCTTCGGCACTTCTTTGCCGCGGCCGCCGAGGAACGCTGGCAGCTGCTCCAGCGACAGCTGCGCGTGCTCCGCCAGCTGGGCGCCTCAGGCTCGGCGCGTCGCCGAGGCGATTCTGCTTGCGGGAAAGCTGACAAAAGGAGCCAAGAGATTCGTCAACGTCCATTTCCTTTATTCATTAAGCCCCCTGGAAAAAGCATACATAATATACAAATATATATATATATATATATGTACACATATGTATATGTTCCAGTGGTGATGGATTTCCCACTAAAACAAACACGGGCGGTTGTAGTTGGGGGTTTATCAATTCTTCACGGATTCACGGCCGCCAAATGGCAGTGTATGTGGGAAATATCAAATCTTGGTTTTGTTCAATGGTATGTTTACCGGACCTTTTGATCAACTCCCATCCCTGTCAGAACCCGCCAGCGGCACAAAAGGGATCGAGGGCTTGCTTATCTGGCAGGGCTTCCTTCTACCCAAGCAACCCCTCTTGCCTAATGTTCCTCTTCTTGAAAGCTCTCTAAGCACCCTCTCGACGCATTTTCGCAATCTGCCGGGAGGCGATGTGATTCGTGGCTAGGCCAATAGAACAGGTACATCCAAAGTTTTTTTGGGGTGCAAATCTGGAGATTTGGAGCGTCTACGCTTGGCTCGTTTTGGCCAGTTTTGCACCTGGTGCTAAAAGTTACGGAAAGGCGATCCCATACTGGATTCGAACTTCGAACGGAAGTCCAAGTCAAACCAAACATGCTTGCAGCCTTTTTCGGAGGGGGCGTTTGTTGTGGCCCATAAAACGTGAAAGAAACGGCTGGTCTCGGCGATTCCACTTCCAATTTGCAGTAAACAGTTGTTTGCTCAATTGCTTTTCCCATGTTTCCTAAAAACAACTCACAGGGCCTTGGCTATTTGGGTCATGGTTTTCCTTTGAGATGCTTAGGGCCGGTGAACCCTATCGAACTTAACCTGATTGGAAAATGAACTAAAGCGCAATAAATGTGAAGTGACCCGCCAGGGGAGATTCAGATGTCTGGATATGTCTGGCACCGAAAGCTTCTCAACCCGATCATAACTTTTAGGGTTTAGGGATTTAGGGTTTATCGTATCTTTCAAAACTTGCCAACCATGTGTTCCCAGCATGTCTTTGCCCCTCCTGCTTAAAGGATGTGATGTCTTAGCGCGCACCGCCTTTCAAATTTGGCTACTTCGCAGTTTAGACGTTGAAGAAACTGGTGGTTCAACTCCCTCTGCAATCCAAGCCCCGATTTATGGTGAACCGAATCAAGCTATCTGAAAAGAAACTTTATTGCCATCCCGCGCTTCGCACTGGTATTGCTTGTCTGACAGGACTGCATATTTACTACACTCTCCCGCAGTGATACTTCAAGGGGTGAAACAATCAGAAACCAAGCCAAGCCATTGAAGTTATGATCGAGGCAACATGTCGGCAATCATCGAGGCAAAACCCAATGTGGGCGGTGGTGTTTTGTAAGGGTACTCGTTTCACCGTGAATCAAAGGGAAACCACAAGGACACCACAGCATGTGTTGGGTGTTCCTATGCTGAAAACTACCCGTATATGATGCAAAGTGGCTAAAGTCGTGCCCCAGAATGGCCACCTTCTTGCGAGTCATCTCCTGCCGGGTCAGGTTTCGGAGACACACATCTGAGGGGTAAGGGCCACTTGTAAAACGAAGCTTGGTTTGCCGGCCCTCCTTTTGTAACTCGTTGCAACCCACAGAGTGTTGCACCTCTGAATGAATTGCGGTGATCTGTTGAGTTTCAAGTCTTCAGAAGTACGCGGAACTAGCAATCAGGATTGCGTGATGTCGAGTATCCGTGGGAAACACATGGAAGTCTGTATCCGATGGAAAGCAACAAAAGCCCAGCTTGCACACACACACACACACACACACACACCCACGCACGCACGCACGCACGCACGCACGCACGCACGCACGCACGCACGCACGCACGCACGCACGCGCGCGCGCGCGCGCGCGCACGCACACACCCACACACACACACCCACCCACCCACACACACACACACACACACGCACGCACGCACGCACGCTCGTTCGTTCGCTCGCTCGCTCGCTCGCTCGCTCGCTCACTCACTCACAATATATCTCTCTCTCTCTCTCACTCCCTCACTCCCACACTCCTTCACTCCCTCTCCCTCACTCACCCACCCACCCACCCACCCACGCACACACTCACTCACTCCCTCGCACACTCGCACGCTCGCGCACACACACACACACAAGTGCACGCAAACACACAACGGTGTATATGCCCGCCAAGCCAAGCCAAGCCAAGTTGTCGGGCATAAAATGCTGAGTCAAAGGGCAAGCAGCAAGGGCTTGCCAATTGTTGGCAATTCATGCATGCAAAGAAGGAAAAGAGGGAAAGAAATGAATCAAAGGCCTAGACATTAGAATTAGAACCCTGACTTGGAGACCGGTGCTGTATCGCTTGCCTTTAAAGGACCCAGGAGCCAAAAACGGTTGCCTTTTTTGGGACCGACGCAGAACAACTGGTTGTTGGAGCAATGATTCTGAATCCAAATGGCTAGTTGGCTGAAAATAAACGCGTGGGCATTGAGGGATGCTTATCAAAAGGGTGTCCATTGGCACAACCATAAAACGAGACATACCATCCTTGGTGTGCACGTAACGAGCTTTCTCGTCAATGCACATGTCCGTTTCAACAAGCTGAGAGTAGTCAGCAACTCTTCTACACCTCAAGTGCCTTCTTGCCAAGACTATTCAGTGCGCAACATGCCAGCGAGCAGAATATCATTTGTATAAGCAGCCAAGACAACACCACTAGCACGCACAAAAAACCAAACCACAGCTACATCATGCAAGCCGCCAGCCAGCCAAACAAACAGGAAAGTAACGAACAAATGGGTTCTTATTTGTGCAGTGGGAAAAAACTTGATATCTTTCCATCTGCAGTGAGGAATTCCTGCAATTGGAAGTTGAAAACGCAAGGTGGGGCAAGGCGCTAAACAAATTTCTCCAAATACTGGGGCCGTTCTAAAATGGAGTGTTGGCCAATCCCTATCGATTTTATTGGGAAAGCCACCACAGAGGGGACCACTGTCGCAACTAAAAGGTACGGATCTTGCGGAGACTGCCTGTTGAACAACCCAGTGTACGCATTCCTCCGAATTGCTTTTTTTTTCCCCGCAGGACTCAATCTGCATCTCGCTAACCGTCAAACAAAAAAACAAAACAACAACGAGCTCGCTTCCTTTTCGGCCGCAACCGGAAGCAAAAAACATTTTTTCCACGAGCTCGCTTCCTTTTTGGGCCGCTTCGTCTGGCGGCGTCCAAACACGACTTCGCTTCCGCCGCTTCGCTCGCTCGCTCCTCCAGCAGGACCGGGGCTGCTAGGCTCCAGATCCAGGTGAAGATGCTGGGGGCGCGCAGCACCGTGAGGGTGGCAGCCATCTCCGGGTAGTTGCGGTTGATGGCCGCGGAGAACCTGAACAATGGTGTTTGTTTGTTGTTTAATCTACGCTTCTCGAAGGAATCTAGTGGTTGTTCATCATTTGTTTAGGAATCTTCGCTTGTTTTATGTTGTTATTCTTGGAGGAATGAAATGTGTTTGTCTTGTCTTTTTATTAAGATGGTTGTGCATCCTGTCTTGGGAATCCAACGGTTGGTCACCTTGTTTTAGGAATCCGATGGCTGTTCATCCTTTAGGATTCTGTGTTGGTGTTCAGTTGTCATGTTTTAAGAAATCAACTCTTTTTGGCTTGTCGTTTTTAGGAATCCAATGGATGCTCATCCTGTTTTAGGAATCCAATGGATGTTCATGCTTTAGGAATTCAATGGTTGTTCATCCTTTCTTAGGAATCTTTGTTTGTTGTAAGATTTGAGTTTTTGAGGAATCAAATGTTTTCGTCTTGTCTTCTCTATTAAGAAATCCAATGGTTGTTCATCCAGCTTTTGGAAAGCAATGGTTGTTCATCCTGTTTTAGGAAGCATTTGTGTTGACTTTCTTTCTTTTAATCCAATGTTTGCTCATCTTTTCGAGGAATCCCATGGTTCTTCGCTTTTCTTAGGAATCGTTGAACCGTGTTTGGTTCATGAACCCAGTGGCTTTGGTCTCCTGAAAGGAACCCAACCAGTTGGACGGGTTTTTCTTGAAGGGTCAGTCCATGTCTCATTCCCAAATCACCGGCAAGTCGTTTCTTTTTAGGAATCCTTGACCCCCCTAGAATGATGGAAAGGTGTCCTTTTTGGGTTTCCCTGAAAAAACAACCACCAAGAGGAGAGGTTCCCTCAAAAATAGACGCGCACACAAAAACATTACAGGAATCGTTGCTCTCGCCCGCCAAATCGCAAAGAAGGGAAAAATGTAGGTATAGAAATCTGGGTTGCTCCAAGCTGCGGGAAAGGTCTCGTGTAGGTATGGACAAAAACCCGCATGAAACCAACAGGTCTCTCCGGGGCGCTTCGGTCACACCAATAAAGACCAGCCAAATCAAAATGCAAAAACCTCCGAGGGGACAAATGTGGCCACGGCGTCGGATGGTCCATACAGTCCAGTCCCTTGTGCTGGAAAAATTCAGGGATACTGACAATGACATCCTCCCACCTGCACATGTTTAAATCCAGATCGATGCCAAACCTATTGGGCTCAGGAGGTCGGTTGCTTCCGAAATCGTTTGCTGACCCTTTCTCAGTTGTCCAAAGGACCCAGAACAAAAGGTGAGCTTTTGGGGGGCATGAATTAAAATGCAACCGGGGAAGCCCAGAAGCTCGAAAGGTTGATTCGCTTTGGGCAGGTGAGAACTTTTGTCCATGGAGCGTATGGTTCTTTACCCGAAGCCGGCTCTCGAGCTCCCGCCCAGGAAACCAACCCTCGGATTTCAAGCCCGGCAATGCCATTGCCAAGCCGCAGGGGATGATGTGTGTAGCCACTTATTTGGAGTGGACATGATATTCGTGGAATCTCTACTGCCCAATGAAACCATAGGTGTTCTTTTTGGGAAAATAGATGGCCCTGGTAGTTGATGGAATCACCAGGTAAACCAGGAATCGCCCTCTATGTTTTCAACCAAATCAACCAAAAAGGACACATACCTATAAACTCCAAAAGGCGAAAATTTCAGCCTGAGACTCGAAAAGGCGCCTTTTGCCGTCCAGCGGCGGAACTCGATGGGGAGCTGGTTGTGGCGGCGTTTTTCAATTTGCGACGGCGTTTTTGCGGTTTGTGGGCATTTTGCCTGACGTGCGCCGCTTTGCAAGATCTGCGCACCTGACCGCGACTATGCAACTTTGCCAGGTTTTGTGCTAGGCTTTGTGGGTTGGTGAAACTCGGTGCGACCTGTTGGAATACCCATCGAGCTTTACCGCCAAATGTGTTGACTTGCACCGGCGGAAACCTACGTCCCGACGGCGGAAACGCGCGTCCCGACGGCGGAAACGCGCGTCCCAACGGCGGAAACGCGCGTCCCAACGGCGGAACTCGAGATCGCAAACGCTTTCTTGAGGAGTGATCCAGGTGTCACAAATCGACCAAAGCCGCCTTGCAAGGGGCGAGAGTCAGTTTGCGCTTCATGTTGCTACCTTCTGAGACTGCTTTGCGCCGAGGCCCTGAGCTGATTTGGATCAGCCAGGGGCCAACGGCGTTTCTTGCAAACTGCCGGCGTTTCTGGTATGCCTCAACAATTCTTGGTTTGCTTGTGGTTCCCCGAAGCAACCCCGGAATGGGTAGCTGAACGAAACCCCTAGTTGACCCACAACAAACTCGCGGAACCGCAAAAAATATCTCCCAAAGCTGAATGGAGGGTGGCTCGTGGATGCAAATGTCATTGCCCCCCCCCAATCTGCATGGGTTGTGCCCCCCCACCCTCCGGGGAAACGTTGCATGAGATTAAAAAAAGAAAAAGGCTTGTCTCAGACATGGCCCCAAACTGGTTGCTTCTTCGGGTTTCCTTTTGGCTTCACTTTCAACCTCAAGGAACGCGCCATAGAAACACACAAACAAGCGCGCGTATGGCTTGAAGTCTTCACGGATGCACCATACAGGCAAAGCCTTTACTCATGGGTGTCGAAAAGGTCTTGACAACATAAACAGTATCTATCCCCTTTGTTCTTGATTGCGGGGATCGGGACGATCCTGCATTACTGGGCATCCTGCATATAGATTTGTTGGCTTGTTTGTGTCTATGGTCCTTTCAAGCTCAAAATGGGTGCTGCCCTGTTCGAGACAATGATCATCTGGGTCTGCCTCCAAATCTCATATACGTGTCTTTGAGGGTACGCATTTTGAAGGCACCCATGTGGAGTGATAAAACACAAGAGAAGCCAATTCTTGGGTCATCGAGTCATCCCTACTTTGACACGCAGAATGAGACCACACTGAACCCGTCACAAACAAGCCATTTCTTGGGGTTGTCATCGAGTCATCCCAATTTTTACACGCAACATGAGACACACTGAACCCGTCACAAACAAAACCATCACACTCGGCGCGCGCGTTTGAAGCCGCCGCGGTGCTTCTGCATGACTTGCAGGTGCTGCAGCCAGGCAAAGGACACCCCCTCCATGTCCACCACGCAGGCCAACTTCACCGGGCGCTTGCCTCAACCCGAAACGGTCGTGGAACTCACGAAGAATTCGTCGCCCTGTAGACGAAACTTCTTGGGGCTGATTCCTTTTCAATATCCTTTTCAGCCATCATTATTTTCAATAACCGGATCCATTTCCCCACATTTTTTGGTGGGTTTCTAGAAAGAAGGATCCCTGGAAAGAATGGAAATGGAAGTCACCCCTAGAAAACTCTGAAGACGATCGTAAAACAACATACCCATGGAAAGGAGCCGCCGAAAACGGTTATTTGAAGTCGCTAAAAGAGGCTGGAGCCATATGAGCCAGCGTCTATATTTGCTGTGTGGGGTGTATTCATTCTACTTTTAGTGAGTCCCCTATCGTTCTCCACGTTTCGCGTGTTCGTGCTGTGCCCGATGAACCCTCTGCAGGGATCGCGCGCCTCGAAGCGCTCCCACTGTGGCGCCCTGCGAATTTGTAAAGCGCCCGATGAACCCTCTGCGAGGATTGCGCGTGCCACAGCGCCCTCGCTGTGACGCCGTGCGAATTTTAAAACTGCCCGATGAACCCTCTGCAGGGATCCTGCGCGCCCAAGCGCTCTCGCTGTGGCGCCGTGCAAATTCGTAAAGTGCCCAATGAACCCTCTGCGAGGATTGCGCGTGTCAAAGCGCCCTCGCTGCGACGCCGTGCGAATTTGGAAAGTGCCCGGTGAACCCTCTGCAGTGATCCTGCGCGCCCAAGCGCTCTCGCTGTGGCGCCGTGCAAATTCGTAAAGTGCCCAATGAACCCTCTGCGAGGATTGCGCGTGTCAAAGCGCCCTCGCTGCGACTCCGTGCGAATTTGGAAAGTGCCCGGTGAACCCTCTTCGCGGTGACCACGCGTGCCCAAGCGCTCTCGCTATAGCGCCGCGCGAACTCGAAAAGCACCCGACAAACTTTCTACGCAAACACAGCACTGGAACCACACGCGTAGTCTTTTGTAAGCAAATGCACTAGGCCTCACATTTGCAACTCGGGCCAATGCTCGGGGTATCGACGGGGTATCGACCGGGGTATCGTTCTGGGCGTGTGTCGCGTGACGAAAATTTTCACAATTTTCCATAAGCTGTTAGAGCCAAGCAAACACACAATAGCCTTCTCTGCCTTGCGGTAATCATATATCAGTCTTGGCGGCTTGCTTGCTGGCAGCAACCTCAAGGTCGCAAGTCGCAACTTTCACCACAAGCGCAGTGCACAAGTTACACTTCGGCAGCTCCAGCTCGAAGGTTGCAGCTTGCGGCGGTCACGTGTCAGTCTAAGCGGCTTTTGCTTGCTGGCCGCAACCTCCAGGTCGCAAGTCGCAGCTTTCAGTACAGGCACGGTACACAAGTTAGACTTCGGCAGCTCCAGCTCGAAGGTCCAGCACAAACCATGCTCAGGGGTATCGTTTTTTGTGAGTCCCCTATCGTTCTCCAAGGAAAATGCAAAAAACCAGTATTGAATGAAACGCCGTTGATAAAGTGGTCTTTGATAATTCTGAGGTTGACTCATATATCAAGGACCCAGCCATGGGTGAAAGTCCAAATCGTACCCCCAGTGAACATCCGATTCAATCCAACCACTAAAATAGGAACCCTAAAATGGGTGGTACACCGAAAACCCCAAAGTGGGATCCCAAAACGGCTTTGACAACCACAGCCACCTCAAGGACCACTGAGACGTTTTTCTGCTGGCGGCTTTGAAGTGTTGTTGCCTACTTGGGCGAATGCCTGTACTTGCAGCGACACAAAACATAACGCCCGTGTCGAAGCCAATAGGCGGCTCCGACAGCATCGCACATACACCTGGCTTTGTCTCAAAATAGGGGAAGCCCAAAGCGGGTGGCTTCCCTGTGGTGTCCTTTCAAACCACCCCAAAGGGTTCTCCCCAAAAAAGACACGCCCAGATCAGTGACTTTGTCTTTTTTGAGGGTACCTCTTGCTCGCGGTTTGGGAGGCCAAAAGTTGAAGACCCGCGTTTTTGGTTTTACAAAACATCTATAGGGGGCACTTCCATTTCCATTCTTTCAAGGGATCCATCTTTCCAGAAAACCATCAGAACCCCAGGGGAAACAGCATCAACCCCTAGAACAGCAACAGACACAATCAGCCCCCCTGTTCCGCTTCTCACTTGCCCCCAGCCATCAAAGAAATACATATGGGTGTGTTTCTTTTGACAGGGGTCTGCTGTGAGTGTGTAAATCAATCATTTTGCAAACGCGGAAACAAATCATATTACAGAAAAGCAACTGCAGTGACAAAGGAATCATAGAGCTTAGTGAGGAACTACATCATAACGACACCAGTTGGAAGTTCTGTCTCGAGTTAGGATTTCAATAGGAACTTTGTTGCAAACAGGATGTTGATTCAACTGATTTAGCATGTTCGTATATGTTAATACTCTAATAATTCAAGAACGGTTCTATCTGGTTTAATAGAACTGAAGTTGTGTTGTTCAGTGTTTGCGTTCGTTCTTGTTTGTTGAAAGAAAACACATGCTTCATATGTTTTTCAAGGGGTAGGCCAATTGAAAGGAACCACAATGCGTTCTTTCTGTATTGAGTTCGAATCAAAACACATTAAGCGCTGCTTTTTATATAAACAAAAACTGGCAACCTGGCAAGGAATTATATTCAAGCTGTAGCTTTAGATATAGGCCCTGCTTGAACTGTTTCTGAATAAATTTCATTTGATTTCGATTCACATGTTCATCAAGCTCTGGAAATGTTTTTTTCCTGCAACATGCAGACGATTAAAAAAAAAAAAAAAACGCAACTCCGGCCAGGGGAATTCTTGGCACACGGCAAATAGACAACAAAACATCGAGAATTCACACAAAAACAATCTGGCAGGGGGGCATCTTGGCATACCCCATCAGCTCTACTAGACTCTACTGGAAGATGTTGTTGTGCTTGGATGTTTAGGATTTCTTGATGTTTGTTCAGTTTCAGACTTGCAAGTGGGCAAGATCCAAACATGTCCTTTGTCAGATTGTTGTTTGATTGTTTTATCTGTTTCCCCCGGATTTCTCGATGACTTTTCGGTTCAAACAGAAGATCGGTACTAGGGAGGCAAAAGTGCTTGAGCCCACAACCCACCGCTCAGGAGATACCTTTCTGTTTTCGGAGGGCACTCTGTTGGGGGTTGGCTTAAAGGGAAACCACAGGGAAACAATTTTCTGGGTCCCGTTCATGTACTCTATCTTTCATGGATTGCCTGCTGCATTGCACCGAAGCTTCAAAATATCTTGAGTAACCTCTTGAAACCTGTGTGCATGAATAAGACCATTTCGACAGACGCCACTCTGAACTTTGGTGCTGTTCAACACGGAATCTCTGAATGAAGTCATCAAAAAAAATGGTCCTCCAGTAGAGAGGTTAGAATAAAGGTACCCTTTTTAGTCTATTTTGGTAGGGGAACCCTCCCCCAAAAAAAAGGGGAGCGAAGGGCCCTACTGGCGGATCTAAACAAGGTGAGCTGCACCCAAAACACGAAGGAGGCGGCCGTGGGCGAAATCCCCGGGTTGCAGCCGTGGAGCTCTGGGAGGAGATATGGCGCAGGAGCTGGAAGACTTGCTCCACCATGAAGATCCAAGGCTCAAGGATGTCCTGGCATCTATCTTCAGGAGGGGGGTGGGAGGTCCCCAATTCCATTTATCTAGTCCCCACAAAAGGGAAAATAGAACCAGAAATGGAATTCCCCCGGTCACCCCCCTCCCCGATTTCATTTTTAAGGGGGGGATGTCCTGGCTGCGTTGTGTTACCCGGAGCAACCACTTCAGCTATGGAGCTTGAAAAAGATCGGGATGGGGTCGTTGGTTTACCCCAGCACAGGTCATTTATGGAGACTCAAAAAGATCGTCGGATGTCCTGGAGTCGTTGGTTTACCCCAGCAACCACTCCATCAGCAACTGGTGAACCACGTGACTTACAAAGATCGGGCAGAAGAATTCACGGACCAATGCCGAAATGGAGGCTCCAAACTCTGGACGCCGGCTTTGTGGGTCGTGAACGGCCGCTGAAGATTCATGGTCCATCTTCACGGTGGCTTTTGGACTCAAATATAGACACATAACTTAAAACTTCGCTGCCCAGGAGCAGAGTAGGCGTGGGATCTGCAAACCTTGCCTATGGTGTGTGTGTACACACACACCCCACACACACAAACATCGCATCGCATCGCATCGCATCGCATCGCATCGCGACGCAACGCAACGCCCGCTCGCGCCCGCGCCGCACGCACGCAAGCATAACCACACCCTCCATTCTAAAGAAATGCCTGGGTGCGCTGGGATTGGTTACAGCCAGAACGCCCATACAGTAAGGCAAAAGCATTGGTTGGATGCCTTCATCCAAGCAACCACCACCTCTTATCGAGCAGAAGCACAACAATCATACGAGGAAAACAGGAAAACTTGCCTGCGTTGAAGCCACCAAGCACACCTTCGATCGTGAGTGCCATATATGCACTGCTGCACACTTCGTGTCATCTTCAAAGCGCGGTACTTGGAGCACCCTCCTCCACCAGCTCCTCCCGAACGGCGCCCTCTATATCAAAGGCCCCCAAGCGAAGCACCAACACAGGGCCGTTCCTTGGTCTGCATTGGCTGAAAACATACAAGCATGCGCGGTGGCCCCCAAGTGACCATGGTTAACTTGTCCTGCTTTTCCCCAATGGTCATCCCATGTAAAAGGGCCTTGTGACCAACCCCCCATGTGTCACAACAGGGCGTCCCACGCCAAACATGTGAGGTTGCAGAAAAACCTCGGTGTGTTTAGAGTCACTTCTCTGGGGTTATCGTTGTTTGACTGCTTACCGTTTTGCAGAGTTTTGAGCTCTCTGCACTTTCAACCTCGAAATCGCGACCTTTTGGTAAAGTGTAGCACACGAAGTACACTTTGGCAGCTGCAGCTTGAAAATCGCAACTTTTCAGTACAAGTGTAGTACGCGAGGTACACTTTGGCAGCAAAAGACAAAATAATTTATGTGCAAAACGTTGTCATGTGTGCGTTTTGTTCTCGTTCTTGGCCAGCTACCAGTTTGCCCCAACAAGCTGTGTTTTTTCCCAGCTGACAATCAATTGTTATCGTTCTTTGACTCCTTATCGTTTTGCAGTGAGCCGTGCCAGTTTTGGAACCTCCGAATACTAAACCTAGACTTCCGAGCTTTTTGGACAACCTCATGTGGTGTTTCTGTTTCCCTTTGAACCAGGGTGAAACCGTAAAAGACATATGCCTATACCTAGGTCCCCGCGATATCACTTCAAAGGGAATTCCCGTTGAGAGCAGGAACTCTCAAATCCAATTTCCCGCAACCATGCTTCCGACTAATGCCTCGCAAACCAGCTGGGCCGTGGTGAGGTAGATTCACCCACACTAGAACGGAGAAAGAAATCTGGTCTGTCTGCAAATTTCGCACTGTCGAACTAACCTCCCAAAAGAGTACCCTCGAAACACGACTTTTACAATACCCATGCTGTTCCACCGCCAGCTTGTGAGGGGCCCTTTTGGCACGCATGCCTCTTCACTCGACCTGCTCGAAGCATTTACGGCAGACATACTTAAGTACGTGAGAACCTCTTCCCTTGTGGGAAAGTGAAGGGTCCTCCTCAAAGTGGGCAAACTCCTTGTGAGAGTATTCAACATGTCTGTCCCAACCGTCGAGAGTGCAAAGGACAGCCGCTATCTTTGGAACTTTCGACTAATCTTCATCCCAAGGTTTGATGGGGCTTACCTTTAAATTGCAGGACCCCCAAAATCGGTGGTTTCCTTTTGCACCAAAACGTCTTTAACCAGGGACCCCCCAAAAAAAAATGCTGGTTTCCTTCAAGGCTTAGATCGCAGACTCGGTGGTTCTCCTTTTGGCTTCGCAAAGACGCCGAGGTTCTGCGCGGTGCGCGCCTCTGGCAGCACGCGCCCAAAGAAGAAGCGGGCGATCTGCTGCGCGCGCGGAGATTGGGGCTGCCAGCGCCAGCCCTCGGGTGACGGCACCTTGGCTCCGGAAACCCGGGCCCCAACTGCAACTGCAGCCAGTGCTTTTCGGTACCGTACCCAGGGGATGTGGTTAGGGGAGGGAGGGGGGGAGGTCAAATACCCTTTACAAAGCCGTATTCGGGTTTTGTCTTTGCCTCGCAGACCCTATGATGGTTGCATGGGAAAAGCAAAGCAGTTGGGTCGAGTGTTGGAAGTCGTAGAGGCAAGGGTTTGAAAGGCAAGCCGCGAGACTGTGAACTGTCAGATTGCCTTCCCTTGCAAACAAAGACACAGCACTGGGCTGCCGACTAAAAATAGTTGATACCATCTATGCCATATCAGGAGACCAGCCGGAAAAAAAAAACCTGTCAAATCGAAAAAGAACTGCAGCAGTCTCTGCTGATGTGTTTTTACATTGCCTCATGTGTGTCGCCATTGTATTTGCGGGAATTCGGAAATTCTTCCAAAGCCGATACATGTTGACCATTGCTCACGAACTGAAGGCAACCACCATAAGAATATTTTAAAGAACCAATATCCTGATCAAGCTCGTGCACCCCGGACACACAAAGCGAAACCTCTAAACCGCAATCTGTAGATTGTGTTGATGTTCATCCCTGATTGGCAAACTGCTGCTTGATGCATCAAGGCGATTCCAACAAACTTTTACACACGAAACAGAGAACCCGCCGAATTAGTCAACCAGTTCTTGAGGGTTCAACGAAACCCAGGAAACTCCATGCTTGGCGTCATAGCTGCTCACCCGCATGTTCGGATTGAGCGGCTTTCCAAAGAGCAACAAATGGTGTCAACCCTGGGGTCCTCTAGATTCTTCCTAAAACATCACCCCAGAAGGGAACGCAGGTGGCCCTCTCCAAAAAACAAAGCGAGAAAACCAAACAGGTCAAAGATTGGCTGAAGGCTAACACGCCCTTCCCAGTCATGTTGGTCAAAGGGCAACCGCCCCAAGTATGCAAGAACACAACCACTCCCAACTCCCAAAACATTGGAGACCAAACAGACACCAATAAGATGCTAGTTGAAAGCATCGCGGACCAGCAAGGAAGAACACGTTTGCCCAACACGAGAAAATGCGACTCAACAGCACGAACGAAACCGAACCCACCCCAGCAAAGCGGAAGCCGTAAAGAAAAGCCACCTTCGCCCGAGAAAAAAACAAACACAAGAATGACACAACTTGAAACCAAAAAAACATATCACATGGAAAACGCTGAACCACCGCCAGCCCAACCCCAAAAAAGAGGAAGAAGACCACCTCCGAAACCTTCCAAGCCGGCCCGGACGCGCCGCCCACGCTCCGCCCACGCGAAGTCCCCGCGAAGTCCAACCGCGAAGTCCAAGCGGCGCCCCAGCGCCGCATGAGGTTCGCCAGGTCCGTCCGCTTGCGCCAGGCGCAGCTCTCGCTGAGGCGCTGCTGGGCCTCCTGCAGGTTCTTCGGATCACCCAGCCTGCGGGATGTGGCTGTGGGCCGGTCACAGCCGATGGTTCCATATGCCTGGCCCCTAATGACTCCCCCATTCAGTGGGAGGTATCGTCATTTTAGTGGTTTTAGTATGAAAAAACAGGGTCGGTTGATCCATATGTGGCTGTGGGCCGGTCAAAACCGTTCAACGGGATCCCATTTTGGTTGGGATTGGTGAATTCACCCATTTTTTTAGAACCTATTTTAGTGGGGAGTGGGATGATCACTGGGGGTATGGGGATTTTGACCCATGACCATCTGCTGGGATTTCCCTGGGATTCAAACAACCATCAAAACAATGGGGGCTCCTATGACCACCATTGCCTAAGGATTGTCATCCAAGTTGGGTCAACCTTGCTTTCAATGGGGGTTGAAGCAGCATTTTGCTGGCCGGGAATGACCTTCCGGGTGTTGGGAATTCCCTTTCAAGGAAACACAGGGGTTGGTTTCTAGATTCCATCAGTCTCTGAGAAAGAGCAAGTCTTCCCAGGCCCTAGGGAAAACGAGGGAAAAAGCCATGCATACCAGGGCCGGCGAAGCCGCTGGGTGGAAGCGGCAAAAGAAATAAGAACCATAGCCATCCTTATGTGTTTGTGTCTTTGTCTCTTGCTTCGTGTTGTTCTATGTATGCTCTTTATGTTTCTTTAATGTTGATCTTATTGTGTATTAGTTGTGTCTTGAATTATTTAATTTAGTTTTCTTTCAGTCTGTCCCTTGTTGTCTTTATGTATTTCGTCTTTCAATATTGTTCTTTCTCTTCTCGCTTTGTGATCTCAGTGTCCCCCCCCTTCCATCTCTGCTTACCCTTCTGTCTAGCTATCTATCTATCCATCTATCTATCTATCGATTGATCCCTTTCTCTAGTGTTCCATCCTATCTATCCATCGATCTATCAAACTCTCCATCTGTCTATCGGTCTGATCCTAGGAAGGAAGGGTCCAACTTGAAGAGCAATGCCTGTCACATCTTTGGTGGTAACCTCTGGTACTCTTGGTTGCTTTCTGCTCCCCTGCTAAAAGTTTAACTTTTAGTGGTTTAGTGGAAAACCCATTAGTTTGCAAAAAGTTAAAGTCCTAACAGCCAAGCAAAATGCACCAATGTACTGGTGGAGCTTTTGCCTTACATCAGGTGGATCATTCCTTGGGATCTGAGCTTGAGGTTGTTTCCCTCTGGTGGTCTTCCGAGGGCACGGTCTTTGGAGGAACCGCTCAACTTGCTGATCGAAAGCGAACTAGGCGCTTCTGGGGTTCAAACGCCGCGGAGTGCCTTTTAGGACCCATCGGGTCTATGGATGAAGCTGGAGCCAAACTGTCCGTCTAACTTTCTATCTAACGGTCTGTCTGTACATCTATCTGCCTACCTGGCTGTCTATCTATCGACTTTTCGATGCACTAATCTATCTATAAATGGGTTCGTTCCCATCTAGCTATTTGTCCTGTCTATCGATCTAGATCTATTTGTGTAGCCATCTATCCGTCTACCTATCTATCGATCTATCTATACATCTATTCCTCATTTGTCTATCTAATCTTGCTAACTATTATATTTATTTCTCTATTCTCTATCGACACTTTATTTCTATCTATCTAGAACTCTATCTATTCATCTGCTTGTTTTTCTACCCACCCACCCACCCACCCACCCACCCACCTACCTACCTACCTCGGTGATCTATTTTTCGTATGTCTACGCCGGAGTGAGTACCGGCTGCCGAAGGGCTCAAGTCTTCCGGATGGCGCTGTTACACGAGGCATGGAGCCATTCAGATCTGGGGTTTGACTCATGGCTCGAGTCGCCTCATGCATGGCTGCATGTTAAACAGGCTCCGAATTGACATTCCTCCACAAATTTTGTGATTTTGAAGCTAGTTCTTGGGGCTGCGTTTGGGAGGACACTTGAATGTTGGAAAAAACGGACTACCTGGGCTCTTGAACGGGTTCGGTCTGACCTCACAAAGCGGACACCTTGATTGAAAATATCCATTGAGCGAATCACTCGAATAGAGGAAACAAGTGAGCTCCCGTGCGTTTTGTGGTCAACCTGTCCAGAAGGAAGTGAGTTCTTAGATAGGAAGCGGATCTGGAAGGTGCCTTAAGACAATCTTGATACCATCTCTCCGTTCCGGATGTCACATACATGTCCGGGGAAGCAAGTGGCATGCTCTTTTAGGAATCCGGTGGCGTTGCCAATGCTTCGTTGAAACATCCCACCCCAAGCGAACTCGAATCTGGCTTGGCAATGGCGATGATGCTTAAATAGCTCCAAATTGGCTCCTTATAAGACACTCCTGGACAGAGTTCCCCATTTCCTGGAGTCTCCATGACCCTTTAAAAATAGGTCCATGACCAACCATTATTTTGGGTAGTCTGACCAACCATTTTTAAAGGCTCAGAAGGGAGACTCTAGGTTCTTGAACTCCTTTTTCGACATTCCATCCAGCAAAAGGACACATTGAACCTGGTCCGAGGGGCTGCAAGCTGGAACCCCCTTGGTTTCCATTTTTAAGGGGGTGGCCACGTACCCAACACCTCATGAGTTTCAGAGCGAAGGCACAGAAACCGCGAGAGCGTGAGTGGATCCGTGAGGTCAAAGTCCCAGCTTTCGACCTCCGAAGGGCTAAGTCCGTCAGATCTGCGAGTCGTGAACTCTTCGTGGGCGAAAAGTTCGACCTATACTAAACCCACTAAAAAGATTTTCCTGGAGTCTCCAGGACTCCATGACCCTTCAAAAATAGGTCCATGACCAACCATTATTTTGGGTAATGGCCAACCATTTTTTAAGGCTCAGAAGGAGACCAAAGGAACCGAATGGATGGGAACCGAGTTCTGCTTGGTTTACTCTTGGCTTCCCCTTTCAATACATATCACACTTCCCGAGTGGATTCGCCAAAGAAAGTTTCCACTTTTTACCACTAAAATGGTCTACCAAGAGGAGCAAGCAAGCAAGCAAGAGCAAGCAAGAGAAAGCAAGAGCAAGCAAGAGCAAGCAAGAGCAAGCAAGAGCAAGCAAAAGCAAGCAAGAGCAGGCAAGAGCAAGCAAGAGCAAGCAAGAGCAAGCAAGAGCAAGCAAGAGCAAGGTCAAGGTCAAGAGCAAGGTCAAGAGCAACAGCAACATCAAGAGCAAGAGCAAGCAAACAGGCAAAACATCCACCTGCACCCACCCACCCGCCCACCCACACACCCACCCACCCGCCCACAAATGAACCAACCTACCGACACCGACCAACCAACCCACCAACTCACCAACCAACCGTGCAGAAAGAACTCGTGAAGGATCTTCTCAGTTGCCCAAAGGACCCAGAGCCAAAAGGTTAACCTTTTGGCACCTTTACAAAAGATGGACCAAAATGGGGAAACCAAAAGGTGAAAAGGTTGGCTTTGGGCAACTGAGCCTATGGGCCCAGCTCCGCTTTGGCCCAGTGGCGAAGGACTGCAACTTCACCACGGGCTCGATGAAGTCAGGTGCCACGCCCTCAGAGAGCAACACCTCTTGGCACACTCCGAAGGGCGCATCCGCGTACCAAATGCTGTCCTCAGGCACTTGGGCATTTCATTCCAACCGAACTGCTCGCTTGGGGTCTTTAGGATCTGGGAACACCTCTGTTAACATTGCCAACTGTTCTTAGGTGAACATATGAGGCAAGCAACAACATGTGTGCCACGATCGACCCTCTGCTTGTAGCAACGCAGCCACGATGCCAGGGATGGAAACCCGTGTCAGTTGTCTAACATCGCTCTCAAGGGCCGATGGCAAGCTATGTCCACTCCAAAGCAAATGGGAGGGACTGAGAAATGCTGAAGACCGGATACTTTGCTTGGAAGCTCCAGCTCTGGTTCCTTCTGATTGTTTGTTCCGGGGCTTTCGACAGCGATCCTTTTGACCATGGTATGAACAGCCCACAGCTTTTGGTCCTTGCTGATGGGCTTCAGCGATCCAGCCAGAGCGGAGTTTGGCGCATCCAGGGACGACGTGAAGAAATGCATGGCCGGCAGGCATTACGAAAACGCAGTGATACAGTGATACGGCGGATGCAAATTCAACATGGTAAACGACATGAGGAAAATATGGGAGTCCCCTTCAGTTGTGGGAAAATGTTCGCCAATCTTCTCATGTCCCTGCGAAATGGTCCTTAGACTACTGAATCTCTCTACCAAGCTTCATAGCGTGCACATCGCCCCAGTCATGCTAGTGGGAATGGGGGCTGATCAACGTCATTGCTCAACGAAACTCCTTCTCTGCATCTGCGAAATCCCTGGGACCTGCCATTGCTAACAGCTTTTGGTCTGACTCTTCCGACTGAATGAATTCGCTCAGTGACACGCACAACCGACGGCTCAATATGTTTTTGTGTTTTGGCACACTCACCAACATGGCGCGCGTTTCGTCCGTGCTATATGTTATGCGGAAGAGCCATGAGACCTATAGAGCCATGAGATGCTGGCAGAGCGCTGGACACTCAACAAGCAGCTTGCGAAGCCCCTCCGAATCCTCAGCAGTTGGGTGCCGTGCTTTTACTTTGACCTCCCCCGCCAAAAAAACATGAGAAAAAAACAACAAATACAATAAACATATTATATACCTACATCTAATATATATATATATATACGCATTTACATTAGTTTGAACAATCATGCTTAGTTTGGTGCTACTGCCGGCGGCACCTTGCCAAGCGATGTCGCCTTGTCGCCCAAGCAGCAGCGACCAGGCCGCAGGTGCAACGTGTTCCGTCGCCGTATGCCACGGTTGCTTCGTGGTTCAAGGGTTTAGGGTTTAGGGTTTAGGGCTCGATGACTTACCTCTCCATGAAAACCGGTTTCCTAGCGCACAATGTGCCATGGTCGCCAGATGACTTGCGTTCATGTCGCATGACACTAGCTTTTCCTAGCGCACAATGTGTGGTCAGCACTCCTGACGCTTAGATGATTTTCCCGAGTGAAGGATCCATGATCATGCCCGATCATGCCACCATGCCTGCCAAGAAAAAACAGGCCTTTTAGTATCATGAACAAACCAGGCTGTTTGCGTCGGATTCTGATCCAGCCAGGCTGCGAGCCAATACCAAGCCGAGCAGAGGGGCAGTCTTGCATACGGTTGTCTCAGAATGGCAGGCACCCAAAATGGGCGGTTTCCGTTGGAGCAACCGTTTCCCTGTAAAGCAACCCCATGGGAACCCTCAAAAAAAGCAGGCCACATCAATGAGAGCCTCTTGGCTAGAGCCTCAGCCCCGTGTTTTCTGAGCACCAAATCTGTGATCGCACAGATTTGGATGTACCAAGTTGATCGACTCTCCGGCGATTTGACGTCACCTCACCAAGTACTTGAGAACGGTTCAACCCGTATCGAACCTTTCAGGATGTCATTCTGGATCTACTGCAGAGCCTGCGGCGAATTAGCTTCTTCCAAATGCCTTGTGCAAAAGAAGGAACACACCCAGGGAACTAACACATGCTAGAAACCAACCGCCTCCGAAAAAAGAAAATCAGCCCAGGCGGTATCCGCGACATCACACGCATCCGAGAGCGGATCACACATCCGATGAAAGTGAGGCAAACGCAGCACAGAAGGGAAACACAAGACAAAGAACGCAAAACAAAATCAACAGAACAACTTAATACTCACACCACATCATCCAAGCATCACCTGCGAGAACATCCGATTGTCACTTCCAAACAAAGTACCCCGGCCCCAATCCACTTCGCGACCTCGAAATCAGCAACCACATAGCTAGCGTGATACCCATCGGTCTGCCGAACCTCCGTCGCTGTTTGCTGCTGGCGGTGAAAGCATTGCGGCGCGCGTCTCTTCTCAAAAGACAGGCTCGGACGGGCTCGGACTCTGAGATCCAACCAGAACTTCAGCCATCCGCAGGGATAGTCCTACCCGCACACGCAAGTTGCGCGAGCACGTTGTATGATCATATCCTGTCCCCTTTCCATACTGCAACCAAGTATGAACCAACTGCAAAAGATCGGAAAGGGCTTCGTTTCTTGAGCAGGGAGCCGGGACTCAGCAATAGCCTTAGGTTCAAGGCAGCCTCAGGCCAGCCCAAAGTAGCGTAGACCACCAGCAAGAATTGTCGCTTGAACAAATCAAACACCATCTAAAAGAGGGCACCCCCGAGTAACCTCCAATGTGCTTTCAGCGTCCTGACAACTTTACTGTAACTCACTTCCTGAGTGGACTGGCCGCAAAAGACCCCTTTTTGCCCCTGAAATGCCGGGGGCTCCTCGGTTTCATTTTGCTCGTCCGAGAAACTTCCGCCTCGCGTCTCGAGCTTCGCAGGTCATCCCGCAGGGCGACTCCCAGAGTCGACACCAACCCAAAACGACGAGGAGTTGGCCATGTGGCGTCGTCAAAAGTGGAAAGCTGTTCCGCTCACATGCACGTAGTATATGGGGTGCGAACAAAAAAAAAAACATATGCTTCAAACAATATATATATATAATATATATGTGTATATGTATATGTATATATATATATATATATATCTGCTTTTTCTGTTTGGAACCTGGTGGCGCCTTTCGGGAATACCCAAAACAGGCCCCCAGTTTTGACAAGCCTTCATGTCTGTGTGGGCTTATGGATTCCGACTTGAAAAAGTCCACCGGCTCCAGGAACTTGGATGCCATGTTCCTTGGCTGCGGCAAAGCTCCAGGGAGTTCAGCAGAAAGAACCACCTCGACATCTCTACTCTTGGTATGCTAGCAAACAACTTTGTTTTTTGCAGACCCCCGGTAAAAATGAACAGAACCAAAAAACTGAAAAAACAAACTAAAAAACATGCCAAGAACAGCGAAGTGGAGTCTCCATGACCCTTTAAAAATGGTTGGTCATGACCCAAAATAAGGGGGTCATGACCCCATTTTTAAAGGGACATGGAGACTCCAGGTATGGACTCGGCAGCTCAGCTTGATTACTTCGCCGGATTTTGCGAAAATTGGCCATCGATGGGTTGCCCAACAAATCAGTTGGCCACAGTTGGTTGCCGATGAAAACAGATTCATTCATCCATCTATGGCATCAGTTCTCCGGGAAAATGCCATCAGATCCGAGGGAGAGTATTTCCGAGGCGAGCACAGCGAGTTTGCTGTGGCTCTTTCGCGCAGGGATGCCACGAGGATGCCAGCGCCAAACATGCGAGCAAGTGCAAACTTGGTGAGCTTCCGTGGGCACAACCTCATCTTGGCTGTGCTTGTTCTATCTGACGGTGCGCTCTTTCAAGGTTCACTTGGAGCTGCTTTCATGAAGAACGGCAACGATCAAGGACGGCTTTTCACAGCTGGGAACCAGAATGGAATTCAGATTCGCATTGAATGCATCCCCACAGAACACCCCCCTCCGTTCTCTCAAATGTCTGAAATCTCACCTGGCATCCTTTCGGACAAGCTCACACCGCGGCAATCTCAAATCGACGTGATGCAGTTGCATCTCGCAACCCGCAAGCAGGGCATCTGGCTTCCTGAAAGCAAAGCCGCTCTAAAAACGCAAAAGCTGGCAGATGGTCCATGACAACTTGCTTGCTGTTGACTTGTTGGTCCCCGCAAAAAGTTTAATTAACTTTTTGGGGTTTAGTGGGAAACCCCTTAATTTCCCAAACAGTTGAAGTCTAAAGATCCAACCCAATAGCAGTCAAGACAAACAGCAACCATACGACAGGTGTCTCAATGGAGAAGCGCGTTTCGGTTGACGTAGGGGAAGCCGTGGGAAAAAGACTGCCACTATTGGGAGTCGTCTTACTCCAAGAAACAACCATATGGTAGACATTGACAACCTCTTACCTCTTCCCAAAAACACAAACTGGCTGGGAATTCCTCATTGCCTACTTGCATCGGCCAAATGATTCTTTACCCAAATCAGGCATCTGGGAAGATCGCCCCGAAACCATGTCAGTGATTTCAACAGAGTGCCTCTATATTGACTCGGTTGCTTTCTGCTCCCCTGCTAAAAGTTTAACTTTTAGTGGTTTAATGGAAAACCCATTAGTTGGCAAAAAGTTAAAGTCCTAGCATCCCTTGGCAAAATGCACCAAAGAACCCACCAACCAAGCAGCCAAGCAACCAACACACCAACCAATCAACTCCTTGTACATCCCCCCAAACCAAAAGTCTGGCTGACCGCAGTTTAGCCTACAGAATAGGGATGCGGGGATTTTGTTCAAGACCACCGTGAACTGGGCGGGTCCGATCCTTCGATCCCCTGCCAAAAGTCGAAGACATTTAGGGGCTGTGGGAAATGGAATCCACGAGTCTGTGAAACAACAAGGGCTTCCCAAAGACTAACCCACACAACGGGGGAGATTCCCTTGTATCACAGAAGTGGGGTAAAACCCCTTGATCCCACAACCCTGCTTTTCGGAGGTTGAATGGACACCGCGAAACCAACTTCAAAAGCTAACTGCCTAAGGAACTGGGTGGCTGGGAACCAGAAAACAAAAACAAAAACATGTGCTTGTCAATTTCAAGGGACACACAAAACACCGGGGGGGTGAACCGATCCGTTCCTGGCTCGGAACCGTTCGGCACGTGAGCGCCTGCCCGGCTGAAGCTGTTCGAATGAGATATTTGTCCCGTGCTTCGCGAGCCTGGTGTACTGGCCTCCCCCCTCAATGGGTATGGGTCTAAATCAAACCAGGATATGGGCCACAGGGCTTCGTCTTTGTTTCCATTAGGTTCCATTCAGGATACCTATGTTCGACCCACACCCAATTGATCTCCTTGCCCTTGGGGAAGATGTTTCTTGCCACAAACCGTTTAGAGAAGATTGAAATGCAACAAAAAGGTCCCCATTGTGCCAAGAGCTCCACGTGGAGGACATCACAGGGAAAAAACGTGTTTGCGTATATGAACCATTTACCTTCGATGTATCGGGCATTTTGCTAGCGAGAGGTACAAAACGCAGCTGGATTCTGAACACAAACAAAATGGCCTTTCAGCGAGCTCTCCAAAGACACATGAAGCTGAAGAACAAATCCTGGCCAATATGAAGTCGTTCAAAATGCAGACAGTCAGACATCAGGAGGATG